TTGCATTATTTAGTGGGACCCTCAAAAAAACATGTACCCAGAAGTAAATGCCCATGCAAGGGTACAACTGTAGAGTATACCATCTGCACACTGAAACTAAGGCATTGCTAATTGGCAAGTGTGGGAATACCCCACTGTATGGCTTGGTAAGGATCCCGGGAATGGAAGGCTTAACATATGAGGAACGTTTTGAGGACTCTGGGTCTCTGCTTGATGGAATTTAGAAGGATGAGCAGGGATCTAATTGAAAGTTACAGAATATCGAACAGCCTGGACAGAGTGGCCGTTGGAGAGATGTTTCCATCGGCAGGAGAGACTAGGAGCTGAGGGCACAGCTTCAGAATAAAGGGAATACCCTTTGGAACCGAGATGAGGAGAGTGTTCAGCCAGAGAGTGGTGAATCTATGGAATTCATTGCCACAGAAGGCTGTGGAAGCCAGGTCATTGAGTATATTTAAGACAGAGATAAGTATTGATTGTCAAGGGGATCAAAGGTTACAGAGAGAAAGCAGGAGAATGAGGTTGAGAAACTTAGCAGCCATGATCGAATAGCGGAGCAGACTCAATGGGCTGAATGGCCTAATTTCTGTTCCTATGTCTTACGGCCTTATATGTTGCATAATATTCGGTTCCTCTCAGGAGAAAAATTACCAAAACAGTAAAAACAAGAATTAGGTCAGACAAGTTCCAAGGAGAAAGGTGGGCAGTCTGATGCTTAAAAGTTGCCATTTCACTCACAAAAATCCGGAAGGTAAGACTGGCATTGTCCAATGTAGATCTGTTTTAATTAGAGTCGTAGAGCTGTACAGCATGGAAACAGACCCTTCAGTCTAACTCGTCCATGCCAACCAGATATCCTAAATAAATCTAGTCCCATTTGTCAGTATTTGGCCCATATCCTCCTAAACCCATCCTACTCATATACCCATCCAGATGCCTTTTTAATGTAGTAATTGTACCAGCCTCCACCACTTCCCCTGGCAGCTCATTCCATACATGCACCACCCTCTGCGTGAAGAAGTTGCACCTTAGGTCCCCTTTATATCTTTCCCCTCTCACCTTTGAACCCATGCCCTCCAGTTTGGGACTTCCCCCACTCTGGGGAAAAGACCTGATCTATTCATCTTATCCATGCCTGTTATGATCTTATAAACCTCTATAAGGTCACCCCTCAGCCTCCGACGGTCCAGGGAAAATAGCCCCAGCATATTCAGCCTCTTCCCTATTGCTCAAACCCTCCTGGCAGCATCCTTCTAAATCTTTTCTGAACCCTTTCAAGTTTCACAACATCTTTCATATAGCAGGGAGAGCAGAATTGCATGCGGTATTTCAAAAGGTGGCCTAACCAATGCCCTGTACAGCCGCAACATGGCTTCCCAACTCCTATACTTGATGCACCAACCAATAAAGGCTGGCATACCAAATGCTTTCTTCACTATCCTGTCTACCTGCGATTCTACTTTCAAGCAACTATGAAGCCGTACTCTAAAATCTCTTTGTTCAGCAGCACTGCCCAGAACCTTGCCATTAAGTGTATGTCTTCCCCTGATTTGCCTTTCCAAATGCAGCACCTCACATTTATCTAAATTAAACTCCATCTGCCACTCCTTGGCCCATCTGATCCAGATCCCGTTGTACTCTGAGGTAACCTTGTTCACTGTCCACTATACCTCCAATTTTGCTGTCATCTGCAAACCTACTAACTATACCTTCTATGTTCTCATCCAAATCATTTATGTAAATGACAAAAAGAACTGGACCCAGCACCAATCTGTGTGGCACGCTGCTGGTCACAGGCCTCCAGTCTGAAAAGTAACCCTCCACCACCACCCTCTGTCTTTTAGTCGCTTATTTACTAGAACAGTTGTTCCTTTTTAAGATAGAGAAGCCATGTTTAAATCTAGCACTGTGCTGGATATCCTTCCCTTAGGTCAGGGACATTCCCTGTGCAGTCCAATATTCGTACAGTCAACCAGGAATGACATGTAATAGGCTCCAGATTTTGGCATTGTTTCTGGATCTTTTCACCAATCTGTATCTAGAAATCTTTGTTAGCAACTTACACAGTCCAAGGTTTTAGTCATCCCTTCAAGTATTTCCTCCTTGGTCCATTTTATCCGATTTATGCTTCTGTGAGGAAACTTGGAATTTTTCTAATGATAGAAGTGTTTTCTACATGCAAACCATAAGTTGACACGATCGACTTTATTTTCAACCTCTGGCAGTTCCTTTTTATACTTGATTGTAATCGCAGAGCTTTGATTTACTCCATTATCCTCATTAATTATGTGTCAAAACCAGCCAATGCTCTTGAGGTAAATACTAGTAACAAAATATAAGAATGGTTTCTTTTATTTGCCAGGAAATGACAGAAAATGAACAGGTTATTGAGTGAACCTGTTGTCAAAAGCTACTGAATTAACTTTGAAGTGCAGCTATTATTGTTTTTTAGGTAAGCACAGAAACCAAATTGGTAAAGTCTCACAAACAACGATGAGATGGACGATCAGATTATCATTTGGTGTTGATTTCAGCTATTTTCCAGGACACCAGAAGAATGCCCTAAACTGCTTCTGGAAATAGTGCTGTTAGACCTTTTAATGTTGATCTGAGCAGGCAAATGATGTAGCGGTTTGATGTCTCAAACATACGTTAATGGACAGCTTTCCTAATTCATTGTGCCACATGAGGGGTAATGCATAGCCAAGTTAAAGCTGCCTTTTCATACTACATTGATTTTGACATCTGTCAAATTATGTAAATTTATAGCCCGTGCTAGTTTTTTTTTTAGAAAGGAGAAAGTACTGTCACAAGAAATAAGTATTTGCTACAAAATATTAAATATGAAAACTGTTCATTGGTTTCAAACTTTAGAGTAAGTACGTAGCTAGAGTATCCCATTGAAAAGTTTGAAATAGATTCCAAAAGTCATTAAGTACCCATGTTTGAAGTTTGGATATTAGTTTGAACGGAGCATTGAGTGGACTGTTTAATACACACGTGGGATTTGATCAAATGTTGATCAACATTTATAGCCCATCGTTAATTCCTCCTCAGAAGGTGGTAGAGCTGGTGAGTCACTTCTTTAACCAATGCAGCCTTTGTATTGTGGGTATACGAGCAATGCTGTTCCTTTCAATGTTCAGAATTTTATTACTGAACCATGACTATCGTATTTATTCTATTATTGATTTATTTTCTGGCTTTTAGACTCGGGTTGCACAATCCTTTGCAGTATAGTTAAATACAGCACTCTACTGTAGAACAGCGTTTCAAAATTATTGTATTGGAGAAAACTGGAAATTAATGCCGGAAGAGCTTGGAGTTCACATCCCATTCCTACTTGAGTTTTAAGCTTTGCTTCTCATCAGATTTTGGTTCAAAGATTGGCAGAAGGAGATTAAGAAAATTATTAATTGAAAGATGCTTTTTGTGAGGGAATTTAGAATTATCCATATGATTAGAGTGGCATACAGGCCAGAGCAGGTAGTAATGATCGGTTCTCTCTCCTACAGTAAGTTCACAAGTATTCCTGATTATTTGCTGAGACCAGTCCACAAATTATTCTATTTAATTTGAATCGAATTGAGCACAATGGGATTTCGATTCATAATCTCTGGGTTGCGGGTCTATTACGACAACCTCCAGGCTACTATGGCTGTACTGGATAGTTGGCATTTCATTTATATTGATTGGATCTGTCTATTTAATGAAGCAATTAATTGCCATGTTTCCCATCATGTTTTGGTTTCTATCGATAGCTGTCATAGTTACAGACATGCATTGGGAGCAGATAGCTTCACAATAAGAATAATACATGCACAGGAAACGAGGAGAACTTTAAGGATGTGCATTTTTTTAAAAAAATACTTTAATGCAGAGTTTATAATGCATTACTCATTCAGTCTTATGGAAAATGTGAAAATATCATTTTTGATCGCATTTTTAGAATGAATTAGCTAAATGTGGAAATTTTTGGCTCTGCAACCATTTCTCTTTGCATTCAGTTTCTTCTCTTTTCGTATTAATTCCAACTGCAGTGTACAATGGAATATATTTGCAATGTCATGGCACCTCTATGCTGTACTGAATCTGCTGTTAAAGATAGGATAAGCGTTTGTATTCCAGCCACAGCCCTAGCTAATGTACAAGTTCCCGTTCTTGTCGGAGCAAGGTTGAAAACTGCGTGCTGCAGAATTGTTTGTCACATTGTTCTCTTCCATTTCTCGCTCTTTCTCTCTGCCGCCATCCCCAACTCAACAACGTTCAGTATGTTGGTCATATGGTTGGTCTGAATTTTAGCTGGTTTGCATAAATGCCACGGATGACGTAGCACAATCAGTCAGGAAAAGACATAATCTGATAAAGTAAGATATACAACATTAATGTCTATTACGTCCCGCTGACTATTCTTCCCAGCAATCTTTGTTGAGATGCATTGAAATTTCTGGCCAAGAAGAAATGACTGCTGGCACTCCTCATGATCCTTCGGCTTAAATTAACGATCTGCCAGATTCAAAAGAAAGAACTCTCAAGGCTTAATCGTAGTTTTATTTGGCAATCAATATGTTGCCTCAAAAGCAATGCATAATAAACAGCTAAGTCTTTTTATGTTGGTATTTTCTTGTTTTTTGCATTAATTATTTAAAGTTCTGGAATACAGTGTCATTTGTTGAGCTACACTATGCTGCAGTAAAAACATGAGCATGTGCCAAACTGGAGTTGTTAGCCGTGGCTACACCATTAGAGGAACAAGTTTGGGAGTTCCAACAGATGCCTTTCCTCGGACTGCTATAATATTGACGATTGGTGCCAATCAATAACTTTGTGACAATAGTCTGGAAGAAGATCAGTGGTTCACTCCCTTGGCTCAAACTCATACAGCATCTATGTAATTTTATGCCAAATCCCAAAGTAAACCAAGGACAGGCTTGAATTTGAAACTTCACTGTAGTGATGATGAAAAGCCTTCAAAAAATAAATCAAGAGAGAACTAGAAGTAATAATTTGTACATTTTTAATGCTTTACTTTTGGCGTCTTGGTTTCCATTTTCAGCACAGTCCTGTGCAAACTAGCTTCTCCAAAGTGCGACAAAAGATCATCTGAATAGTTTCTGGTGAGGGGAGTTGGATGGTCAGGAACCCTATTACCTTCCATAACTTGATAATACCTGTTAAATCGTTTGAAAGTAAATTTAATTCACATTCAATATCACCTTTATATTGCAAAACTGTTATTGGAAGTTTAAATGTTAGCCTTGCATGTTATAAGCTGGGTACATACACTGTATTCAAATCAGCTACATCATGTAGATAGTGTCCATGTGCACACGTGCATGTGCATTGATTGTGAAAAGAAATTGGTAATTTTCGTGTCTGTTCTGGTTTGAGTAAACTGTTGCTGTAGGAATATTACAGTATTTTAGAAGCACTGAAGTCCTGGGAAACTCTGTACCTGCAGCAATAATGATAGTGAATATTAAGAGGATAACAGAATGATTGACTGGCTATTTGAATCAACCACTAAGTGAACCAAAATGTGTCGTCACCACCACCACCACCACCCAAGCTATGTGCAAAAAAAATCTCTGAATAGATATGAACTATTTCATTGTATGAAGCTGTCTTCAGCAGATCATACTACAGCAATTGCCTGTTCTGTTGTTTTGGGTCAGATAGTCATGAAATTCAGCAAGGGTCACTTAATCAGGCTGTATTATTAACATTAGGTGGCCTGAGCCAGTCCTTTAGCCTCGGATTTTTCTGAAAATAAACTCTCAGAAAAACCAAGCGTTGTGTGAATTTGGGCATTTAGCTACTTTCGAAGGGTCAAAGAAACAATGTTGAAAATAATCTATAAATGCCATTATTTCAATTTCCCATCCTGCAGCTCATCATTGCTGCAGAGTGGTGATGACTAGAAACAATGAAGCCTCAGCTGGAAGCTCGATGCTCCCCAGGCACCAACACTGTTTCCTCTGAACAACAGCAAACTATCAAGCAGCAAGCAACTGTAAACGATTTCTTTTTTGAATTTCATTTGCCTTAAGAGTTAACATGGTAGGATCAGAAAAGGTACCATTAAATGAGTTTTTCTGCGAATTTGCTGCTGAAAGTTGACAACAGTGAAGCAGGTCGTCATGGAGAAGAGGAGGAGCCTGGAACAGGAGATAACTACACAAGTGAAATCATGAATGAAATGTGGGCCAGCTCTAAGGTCAACATGTTTCTTACAACTAGATCAAAAAAAAATTGGTTGTCTACAACAAGAATAGAGGAGAGGGAGTTTTGACTTATCATTTAATTTGTTTCAAGATTCCTAAATGGAATATTGAGAATATGGCTCCTCTGTCATCTTATCCAAAGGGCCACGACTCATGTCATGACCAGGAAAGGGGAGAGGCCATTTGACCAAACATGTCCCCATGTGGCTACCATACAATTGTATTATATGACCAAAACATCAACTGTACAAATGCATTACTATGGTAAGGATATCTGATTGTGATATTTGACACTCTTGCTGATTTTTATTTTGGCTATCACAATCAGCATTTATTAAAAAGAGTCTTTTCCCAGTATTGCATCAAGTTTTGAAGTTTCATAGTTCAGATAAATGTTGAATTATTTTGAAGATGGTTTTGTAAAGTGCCTCATATAGTACTTGCTCTGAAATGTAAGCCTATGATACAAGTGGAAGAATTTCCTCTAACAGCCTCAGGAGCGCTTATAAACCTTTTCCGAGAATTTTCTAGTTTTGTTTTTGTGTGGCGCTTGGGATGAAATAGTTCAGAGTTCAATTGCATTTAATTTTATAGAAAGCTGAACTGCACTTCTGTGCCATTTGTGAGTAAGAACTGAAATATTTTGAGATTACGAGGAGTGTAATCCAATTCAGTTCATAGTGTTAGTAGGGTTTACGTCCATGAAGGGATTTTTAAATATGATTGCATCATAAACTGACAAATGATTTAAATTGTAAAGTTGTCTCAATTGTATTGACGCAAAAGCTTTAGCTGGAAATGCTAATACTAATTTTATCTGATAACATGTCATGTGCTGCAAATGCATCAGACATGCAGAAAGCACTCACCAGTGACGGTATTGCTGTAGCAGCATGTTTGCTGACTCCGGGGTAACTTGAATATGGAGTTCATCTCTTCAGTGTTCCCACTGTGCGTGTAAAGATTAACATCACATTGAGTTGGTACGGTAGTTAATTTTGACAACTTCACTTTTTTTCATATTCATCAGTGTCATATCTGCCTAAATCTTTGTTTTATTTTCATTAGTGACAGTTCAGTACTGAAATGTTTTCCCTCTAGTTTCTTCAAAGACTTGAATTCATGAAGAAAATATAGCAATTTTTCATTGGCGTTAAAAGGGAGGTCTCTTCAAGTTACCTTGATCCAAAGTCAAGATGGGGACTCTTGGAAGCTCCACCAAAGTTTATTCATGCATATGCAAAGGAGATTCCGTCGGCTAAAAATGGACCTTCCTGAGCTGTTACAAAACTTCAATTTTATACTGTTTTGACATGGCTGGTAGGTTATTTTAATGTAACTTAGTGGTTGGTACATGTGATTCCGTTTATCCAGTCATGTTCAAATTCCATCAATGATGTTTAGATAGTAAATTAACTTGCACAGGAACTGAGGGTGGGGTAAACAGCCAGCTGCTGTGTCTTTTCAATCTTGTTTTGATGGGCCCCCTCAGCTTTGCTTACTGGAGCATTCCATCTGTTTATTATCCCAGTACGATGACTTAATGTCATTGAGTGGCATATCTGGCCTTTTTGTAGGGCCATAGAGTCATACAGCACAGAATCAGACCCTTCAGTCCAACTGGTCCATGCTGACCAAGTTTCCCAAACTAAACTAATCCCACTTGCCTACGTTTAGCCCAGATCCCCCTCAACCTTTCCTTTTCATGTACATTTCCAAAAGTCTTTTAAATGTTGTGACTGTACCTGCATCCACCACTACCTCTGGCAGTTCATTCCACATACGAACTACCCTCTGTGTGAAAAAGTTGCCCCTCAGGTGCCTTTTAAATTTTTCTCCTCTTACCTTAAAATTATGCCCACTACTTTTTAATTCCGCTGCCATAGGGAAAAGACCTTTACTATTCACTTTATCTATGCCCATCATGATTTTATAAACCTCTATAAGGTCACCCCTTAACCCCCTACACTTCAGGGGGAAGAAAGTCCCAGCCTCTCCTTTATAAGTCAAATTTTCCAATTGTGGCAACTTCCTGATTAAATTTTTTCTTAATCCTCTCTCCATTTTAACAATATCTTTCCTGTAGCCGGGTGACCAGAACTGTACACAATACTCCAAAAATGGCCTCACCAGTGTCCTGTACAACATCAACATAATGTCCCAATTCCTATTCTCAACCGTTTGAGCAATGAGGGCAAGCATGCTAAACGCCTTCTTAACCACCCTGTCTACCTATGATGCAACTTCCAAAGAACTATGTACCTAAACCCCTAGGTCTCACTGTTCGACAACACTACCCAGGGCCCTACCATTAACTGTATAAGTTATGGAAAATAAATGCCATTTGGGCCTGGCACTGTCCACACAGGGGTGTTATCATTTCACTGACCTATGTGATCATCACTCTGGGACCTGACCACTTGTTTTAAGCCTTTCTCCTTTTGTTTGTATCCTGCCCTGATAACATGACTGACCCCATGCAATCATTAATATGCTGGATTAATTCAAATATTTTTCCTAAGCTAAATTACTTGCTCCTAATGCTGTCCTACCCATAGTTTATTAAATTTTTATTTTAACTGATTCTTTCTACCCCCCCCCCCACCACCAAAAACTTCAGCCGTAAGTATCTCTGCTCATTCAGCTGAATCCTGAATGTGCTGCCTGACAGATAGTGAGAGCAAAATCAAGAGTAACTTTCAAAAACTGATGGTATACTTCAGAAAAGAGAATTTCTGCATGACTGAGGGGAAACAATGAGGAATTGTGATTAATAGGATGACTTTCAAAGAAGCAACAAAGGCAGTAATGGATTTTAAAGCATCAATAATTCAAAGAATCAATCAACACAATACCACAGAGAAGGGTCACACTGCTGAGTAATTATATCTTTACATTAATTGGATATCTAAAAACTGAAAATGGTGCCTTATTAAATATGGATGTGAGGCTGGAAAAGCACAGCAGGTTAGACAGCATCCGAGGAGCAGGTAAATCACTGTTTTGGGCTGAAACCCTTCGTTACTTTTGTACGTTAATTCCATTTGTTTGGATTCTTGTTTGAGCTGGCATTCTGTACTGCTGCTTTTCCGAAGTTAATTTCCTCTGTTTGTAATCACAAGAAACAGGAGCTGAATTGGGTTGAATGGCCTACTCCAATCGGATCTGATTGTAGCCTCATGTCTACTTTCCTGTGTGTCCTTTATAATCCTTGATTCTGTGGTCAAACAAAAGTCTATTTCAGTCTGGAATACATTCAATAACCCAGCCTCACTGCTCACTGTGGGGAGAATTTCAAAGACTGAACATCCTCTGCAGAAAAATAAATCTCATCTGAGCCTTATTTAGGTTGCCGTCTAATTCTAGATTTCCATAAGAAAGGAAATATCCTCTGAACATTTACCCTGTCAAGCTCCCTCAGAATCTTTTATGTCTCAATAGGATCAACTGTCATTCTTCTAAGCTCCAATTAGCGTAGGCATAACTTGCTCATTCTTTCCTTTTAAGACAAGAGCTTCATTCCCAGAAATCAACTTTGTGAACCTTTCCTGAACTACCTCCAATGCAAGTAAGGAGACAAAACGTGTATGCAGCACCTCAAGTGTAATCTCAATCCATTCCCCATGCAATAAAAGCTAACATTCCATTTTGCTGCATCTACATGTTGGATTTTTTTGGATCTTTCTATACCACAACATTCCTCGGTGTTTCTCCAGTTTAATAATATCATGCTTTTCTATCTTTTGTGTCAAAGGGGAGAAGCGCACATTTTCTCTCACTGTGCTCCATCTGCCAAATTTTTGCCCACTCACTTAACCTACCTACATCCTTTAGTGGACTCTTTGTATCTTCCTCACAACTTTGTTCCATAACTGTCCTTCTTATTTTCACCAAATTTGCCTGCAATGCGGTCGTACCTGAATCTAAATAATTTATCATAAATAGTCAAGACTGCAGCACTGAACCCACATTCCACCAGTTACAATTTGCAAATCTGAAAATTATCCACTTAGCCCTCTCTCTTTCCTGTTAGTTTGCCAATGCTTAATCCATGCTAATATATCAGTCCCAACATAGTGAGCACCTATCTTGTGCAGTAACCTTTTTTATATGGCAGCTTTATTGAAAGTTCTTTTTGAAATTCAGATACTCTCCATCTGCATGTTCCACTTTATCTATCCTCTTGTTATGCTCTCAAAGAGCTCAAATAAATTAGTCAAATGTAATTTGACTTCTACAAAAGCATATTGACTTATTTTGATTGTATTATAGTTTTCTAAAGAAGGTCAGTTAGTTCAGCACCTGGATGGCTGGCTTATGATGTAGAGTGATTCCACAGCACAGATTCAGTTCCTACTCTGGTTGAGGTTACCATGAAGGACTCTTTTTCTCTCCTCTAATGGTGACCCTTGGATTAAAACACCACCATGAGATAGCAGCACTATGGTGCAAAGAACAGTTTGCTAATTCAGAGAATTATAACTATCATCCATGTTAAGAGGTGGCCCATACACTGCCAAGCGAGTTGATGCTAAAATACTATATTGTTAAAACAATCTAATGTGAACGATAGAATCATTATTAATCTACACATTGCACTACAATAAATAAAACTTTGAAGCTGAAAAAGTTAGAAAATAGTGTAACTGCCTTAAACATGGTATTCACTTTGGTGGAATACTGTTCCTACTATGGGTCTAGCTCAAGCTTGTGGAAGGAATAGGTTTTCTCTCAACTATTCAAAGTTAGAGTGCTCTTGTGGATAATTGGAAGTCCTTCAACAATGGTGATTTACCATGATAACAAGCCCAATAACTTGAATATGGATTTGGAGAGGAGATATAAGTTGTATTAACTGCTCATCATGTCCTGTATTCTGCAGTATTAAATTACAATTTGAGTCAATCTATATTAAAGGTTAAAGTTAATCACAATTTTTAATGACAGAACTTGAAAATCACAGAAAAGGCATGTTATGCAAGCTTTTGCCTTGGACAAGTGCAAGAATGGTAGATTTCGAGTGATCATAGTTTATACCACAAAGGAAAAGCATGCTGATGTTCAGCAGAGGAGCCATGGAGAAACAAAACAGGAATTCAAGGATCCCCATACTCCCAAGCAATTCAAAAATAGGCCTAAAGCCTGAAAATATTCCCTTTGATTGTAGAGATCAGGTTTCTGTGTATGAATGGTTAATAAATAAAGTAGCTTATAAGCTGAACCGTTCATCTTAAGTTTTGTGTTAGTGAAACAATTTGCACACTAATGATTAGCATATGCTAGTCATCCATGGAATCACATCTATTAGGTGTTTTAATTTTGGTTTTGTAAATGAGGGCTGGCTGAATTTGGCCTGTACCGTGTTTATCACAAAGAAATTAAGTAACGTGCTATTTGAGAGTTATAGATCACAGTCAGCCAGCCAGCTTACACTTGCAAAACCAAAAACAAAACATCTGCTGTTACATGTGATTTCATAACAGGAAGCACTTGCTGAACAATCATGAGTATGCTAACAGCAGCATGAACAACCAATTTTAGATAATTGGTCAAACTCATTACATGCTCATTTATGCTTGCCAGAAATGGCATGCATTTGTACACCAGGACCAGTTGTCAGCAAACAAATCATTATGTTCAGGTTTTGCAACTTTTCTGAATTACCTCAGCCCTTGGAGCTCCAATAACTCCACATGACTTTGTTTGAGGCAATGCCATGGAGAATATGTCAACTTAGCAATCAATAAGCAGGCTGTTCTCTGTAGTATGAATAGTTGTGTCTAATTTGAAATTGACATTCTTATGTCTGTCCCTAAGAATCCAAGATGAAAGATTACCTATTGTGTCTCTTTTCAACAACATACAAGTTTTATTGTTGCAGGACCAACAGGCTCTTATTGTTACCAGAATCGAGCTTTTGGATCCGAATATATCCTTCTGAAGGTTAGC